GAGCGCGCTACCACTTGAGCCACATCCCCAGCCCCAAGAATTTTAATATTTAATTAAACTTTTGGTGGACACAACATCTTTGTTGGTATGTGGTGCTGAGGATCGAACCCGGGCCTCACGCATGTCAGGCGAGTGCGCTACCGCTTGAGCCACATCCCCAGCCCAGTACAAAATGTTAATGGGAGTTAAGTATAATACTAAATACATACATAAATTATAAAAGAATTATAAGTAGCTGTATATTAAAATCATTTTTGGACCGGGGTTGTAGTTCAGTGTTAGAGCACTTGACTAGCATGTGTAAGGCACTGAGTTCAATCTTCAGCACCACACAAAAATAAAGATATTGTATGTCCACCTACAACTATTTTTTTAAATCCTTTAAAAATCATTTTCCCTACCATGAACTTTATTTTTATGTATTTTAACCAACTAAGAAAAAAAAACAGTACTTTTGTGTTTTATTAAACACAAAAGTACATCCCAAGTATGGAAATTTTTTACGTATAGGTAAATGCATTTCTTAGGAGAGACTATTCACACCTTTCAGAATCTCAAAGGGATCTGAACTACAAACAATGAGAATATGTGCAAATGAGAATAGTAATCAGCACATAAGCTTAAGAAAAAAATAACAGGTACAATAATCTCCTCTATTTCTATTTCTGGCCTTGACATACCTACTTTACTCTCCTGAGGGGGAAATGTTCTTCTTACTTTACATTTTAATGAAACTGTTTTAGAAGTGTAAGAAGTAGTTTAAATATGAAGATAAGACTACATAGAAATTGCTTGGGAGTTACAGCAATTATTTGGGAGTCATGTGTCTCTACATAAATAACATGCACAAGTTCCACAGGAAGTATATTAACATAGATGCAGTACTGTACAAAGTCAAATATCATTTTACTAAATCTTAACTCAGAACTCCATAGCATGATGATACCTAGAGAATCTCTTCTGATGAAAAGTTTTGTACATTGCTAGCCATAACATCAATAATGGCAAGTAAATACAAAGTACCAAACAAATTCATGTTAAACCACATAATACATAATGTTTAGTCACTGGTTACACCTATGGTATGAAAGACTATGTGGAGGCCCAAACATATTACTGCTGCAAATAATAAAACTATGGCAGGTTGGTGATACTAGGTTCTGCAAGCCTTCCTAAATCCACACTGAATTTCTATCTAACCCACACTAAAATTCGTCCTTCAGTAACCAGATCACCAAGATTATCCAAAAAAGCTGACTGCCTAGAAAGAAGTCAAGATTCATAATGGCACTCACATTTTTATTTTCAATCAGAATTTAACAACTTACCTTCCTGCTCTATCTGCAGTACTTGAACATCCTCTTCTTGTTCTAAAGATGAACATTCTGGGGTGAGCTCACAGCTGTCACTGGTTGTGACAGAATTCACCATCTCTACATCAGACCCCTAGAGAAAAAGTGATAATCAGTTATTTCCCTATTAATTTCTCAAAGCTGTATTTGATTACATATAGATGTTTTCCATTATTAAAAGTCCCAGATGTTGCCATACTCCAAAAGGGAATGACATCTAATCCAATGAGCTTTATCCCAGCAACTCAGGAGGCAGAGGAAGGATTGCAAGTTCAAGACCATCCACAGCAACTTAGCTAGGCCCTAAGCAACATAGCAAGACCCTGTGTCAAAATAAAAAATAAAAAGGGATGGGGATGAGGCTCAGTGGTTAAGCACCCCTGGATTCAATTCCTGGTACCAAAAAAAAAATCAAATCCAAAATTCAAATTACAATCTGTTCAGAGAAACAGCACACGCAAACAACTACTTCTTTTTTTTTTTTTTTAATTTTTTAGCTGTAGATGGACACAATACCTTTATTTTATTTATTTATTTTTATGCGGTGCTGAGGATAGAATCCAGTGCCTCATACATGAGAGGCAAGTGCTCTGCCCCGGGGCCACAATCCCAGTCCAACAACTACTTCTTATGGCAAAGTAAACTGCTATGTTGAAGGAATAATTTTTTTTAATATTCATAGATGTACATAATACAATAATATTATTTGGCCAATATCATTTTCTAATATATTTCTCCTTTCCCTCTTTTCCTCCCTCTCCATTGTCCATTTCCTCTATTCTACCAATCTCCCTTCAATTTTCATAAGATCCTCCCTCTACCTTTTCCTTTTTCTTCCTTGGTGTCCACATATGATGGAAGACATATGATCTTGACTTTCTGAGCTTGTTTTAATTCTTAACATAATGTTCTCAAGTTCCATCCATCTTCCTGCAAATGACATAATTTCGTTCTTCTTGGCTCAATAAAACTCCATTATGTATATATACCATATTTTATTCATTCATTCACTGACAGACATCTAGGCTGGGTCCACAGTTTGGGTACTGTGAATTGCACGGCTATGTATTTCTATAGTATGACTTTAATTCTTTAAGATAAATACAAAGGAGTGTTATAGCTGGGTCATATGATGGTTCCATGCCAAGGTTTTTCTGAGGAACCTCCATACTTATTTCCAAAATGGTTACTGTCATTTACAATCCCATTAACAGTATGAAAGTTTCCTTTCTTGACACATCATCTGCAGCATTTATTATTGTATTTGTATTCTTGATGGCTGCAATTTTAACTGGAGTGAGATGATATCTCAGGGTAGTTTTGATTTGCATTTCCCTAACTGCTAATGATGTTGAACATTCTTTCCATATAGTGTTGACCACTTGTATTTCTTCTTTTGAGAAATGTCTGTTGCGTTCATTTGCCCATTTATTAGTTGTTATTGGTGGTGGTGTATTTTGCGGGGTTTTTTTTTTTGGTGTTTGAGTTCTTCATATATTCTAGACAGTAATCCTCTATCAGAAGAGTAGCTAGGCAAGATTTTCTCCCATTCTGGAAGTTCTCTCTTCACTTCCTTTGCTGTGAAGAAGCTTTTTAATTTTATGCCATCCCATTTATTAACTCTTGATACTATTTCCTGGGCTTTCAGGGGTCTGTTGAAGAAGTTATTTTAGCCTGTACCTGTATGATACAGTGTTGCCCCAACATTTTCTTTTATGAGTTGCATAGTTTCTGGTCTAATTACTGCATCTTTGATGCATTCTGAGTAGACTTTTGTGCACAGTGAGATATAAAGACCTAATTCCACTCTTCTGCACATGGATAACAAATTTTCCCAGCACCATTTGTTAAGAAGGCTGTCTTTTCTCCAATGTATGTTTTTGGCATCTTTGTCAAAGATCAGATGACTGAAAGGCATGAATTAAATGAAACTATCAGGTTAACAGAATCCTTTCCTATAACAATTTTTTATTCTGAGGTTATCCTTCATACTTTGTTGTCAGACTGTCTTTCTTTAATAGTGGAATCTTGTGAATTTTTTTCCTTGTGTCTTTTTTTTAAAGTTATACATGGACACAATGTCTTTATCCCTCCTTGTGTCTTAATAAGCAAAATTAAGCTAATTCTGCCTCTCCCTATTTTTTCTATCAACTTACAAAATTCAAATATATAACTCACAACAGCAAAAAATAAAAGAATTTGTGAACAGAATAGTCTTTGAAGACTAAAAAGAGATTTAACATATAACTCAAATAACAAAATATAAAAGAAATTGTGAAAGGAGTAACCTTGAAGACTAAAGACAATTCTAAATGTAAGACTTTAAGGTTGCCTATGGTGGCAGGAGCATGACAGAAGCAAAGGCAAGGATAGAGCTGATTAGGGGGTTGCTGGAAAGACCAGTTCTGGACCAAATCACAATGGTAATAATGGAAAAGAAAACATATGTAAGAGACACTAACAAGAGAGCTGAATTTGGTAACTAAATACAGATAAAGTACAAAAAAAACATGATTTACTCTGTGGCATGATGTCTAACACACTTGGCAAGTGCCAGAAAAATTTACTGTTTTGTTCTAACCTGCAGGCTCACAGGTAGGGTTTCCAATGCTGCCTTGCTCCTGTACTGTTAATTATCCTTGAAGGAAAAGAAGCTGTTATGAGTTGACCCAAGCTTTGTAGAAACAGGTTAAAAATAGAAAAATCACTTTGTGTTGGGGGGAAGGTACTGGGAACAGAAACCAGAAATGCTCTACTACTGTGTACATCCCCAGTCCTTTTTTTTTTTTTCCATTATTTTTAAATCTTAGGATATAGCTAAGTTGCTCAGGCTGGCCTTGAACTTGCAATTTTCCTGCCTTAGCCTCCCAAATTGCTGGGATTACAGGTGTGTGCCATCACACCTGGCATACTTATAAAAATAAAAACAACTTCAAACTCAATTGGTACAGTCGCTATTAAGTTTTGAAACTATAAAACAGAAAGCAATCTTTTTTATTAATCTTGCTTTCTAGAAGATGACTGTCTAACTATTAAAATAATTATATAAGAAAATGTTAAAATTTTTCTATTAATGAAAAATAGGCGAGAAGAGATCCTAAAAACAAACAAGAAAACCACAGATGGTTTCAACAAGTATGGCTGATTTTTACTTTATTGTATCTGAGTGATTTTTTTTAAATAATGAAAGCAGTGTAGAACATAAACCCTTAATAAAAACTTATGTTTCTTCTCTTTGTAATGTTTATTACAAACTAGTTATGTGCATTCATTGTATGTATTACTCCTCTACATAAAATATATTTTTGTGATAAAGTTCTAACCATAGTTCTTTAAGTTCTGTTAAGTTCCTATAACAACATAATTATACATTCTCCATCTTCCTTGGAGCCATTCTGTTCTATCCAGGCTTAGATATTTTCTAATTACTTAATTTTTGACAAATTTACCTTTCTAAGCTTCAGTTTTCTTAACTACAAAATAAGAATGAAAACAATCTATATACAGTGAGGGTTTTTTTAATTATATGAGAATTGGATAAAGCACAGAGCCTGACTAGTAATAAATGTCAGTAAAAATGTGCCTAACAACTTCAAGCTAAGGAAAGCTATGAACAATAATGCAGACGATACTGGCCCATGAAGAGTTTTCAGCAAAGCAAGGTACAGACACTGGAACCTTTGGCTTAAATGCAGAAAAATGCTGGCCTTCAAAGAACATTTTATAT